GGAAAATTTAAGGGGTAGTTATATAATAATTTTGGACGATCTCGGGCGGTCGGATACTTATGACCGCTACTGTATGTAGTGTGCTAGGCATAATAAATTGGGTATAATAGCATAATGTTTCCATAGGGAACGTGCTATCAGTTGTACTGTATAATAAAAATAATCCAATAAATGTAAATCTGGATCAACAGAATTTGTGGCACAATGCGGTTATTTATTAGATGGGTAGTAGCACAAGTTTATTAATCATACATTAGAAAATACATATATTTTATTATACCACATATATACTAAATGGAGACCATACCCCCGAGCTCACGGTCTACCAACAATACTATCATGTGATATGTTTTTTCAAAGCAAAGCAATAACTTCTTTCACTACATAATCAATTTTATCACCACTTAATTTTGCAATTCTTGAAGCTGAGAAAGATCTTACTCGTTGTATCTTATCAGCTCCAATACGACAGAAAAGGTCATAGATTTTTCGAGCCTTCTCTGTTCTTTTCTGAAGCGCATTCTTTGTCACCTCCTTCAGAAGTTGTTTCCTGACTTCATCATTAAGCGATTCTTATGCTACGTGCTTCTCATTTATCTTTTTAAGCTGATTGAGGCGCCGGAATAAAGCCTCTCTAAATAAATAATATGTGCGTATAACGTCCTGATTCGTATTTTCGTGCTTCTCTTCAGCGTTGGTAATCCTGCTGTATAAAGTTAAAAAAATGCGGGAATTTCCTACTTTCTGCTGAAGCCTAAAGAGGCCTTCTTTTTTTCTGACCTCCGAAACTTTAAGAGTGCTAATACTCAGCTCTCATATAAGGTTTATTAATATACAAAAGTCCTCAACTTTAGTCTTCGCTTTCTTGCCAGATGGTTTATCTGTAAATGTGTTCGCCTGTTTTTTACTGCTGATATCTAGATTAACTTGAACTTCAACCTCATCCTCATTTTCGTTCTTATCCTCACCTACATCACTAGTATTATCTACGTCTATTTTTTGCCTATGATTCGATTGCTCTTCAATCACTTCTAATAGATTATCCTCATTTTCAACATTCACGCCTATTTCTTGATCCAGTACTGTTTGTTCTACATCCACCTCTGACATCTCTTCTTCTCCCTTACCCAAATCCGTCTCACGAGCCTGATCAAAAGAAGTTTTGGTAGAATTCATCAGTTGATCTTCCGCATGACTCCCTTGTTCTAACGGATTATTAGTATCATCCACGGGAGTTAGATTTTCTGAGTCTACTTATATGGTCGTAGCAATAGTAGTAGCAGTGATATTAATCAATTCTGTAGTAGTGACGTTCGTTTCATCTGCGGATCATTTTGTAGACTCTTATAATCTACCTCCTTATCATCGATGGGAGTTAGATTTTCCGAGTTAACTTGCATATTTACAGTGTTTCCAACAGTCGGGGTTGTAGATTTGCCCATTTCTTTAAAGAGATCTTGAGTTATTAGAGTTTCGATTTCTCTGCCTTTACAATCCCAATTTGGATATGTAGAATTAGATCTATTTTTCACTATATCCAAGAGATAACCTTTAAGACACTTTTGGTGATAAATACAACCACAGGTGGCCATAGTAAATTCTTTGATTGGCTCATCCGGATGTGAGATGAATTTCTGTTTACATAAAATGCATGGTTTTATCTCCAGAATATGGATACCAGTAGAATGAATAAGACTATTTGTGCTGAGTATGTTTAACGCTAGATTGGTGATTTGAGATTTGTTCATACCAATAGTCTTCTTGACTATATCACTGCTTTGAGTAGAGGTGATTGCGACATCCTCCATATTGATATCGTCAGTAGTGATCGCTTCTGTATTAACTGAGCTTTCTTGGTTCTCTATACCTGCCTACTTATCACTCGTGGTCAGCTATCTTGCTGGCTAAAGCTGAAGATGAGTTTTTTATAGTACCAAGCAAATGTTCAGGAGAAAACATTCCCCGGATTTTCACCAACAATTACGCATTGCATTTCGTCATTCATTAATCCCTTGCAAATTAATAAAAAAAATAACAAAGGATTAGCATACACATCCTCAAATCTCATATGCGAAATGATGATTGCCAACAAATATCTATATTCGAATATTGTTTTGTTAGTATGATAATAGCGTGACCAGACATGACATGTAAAAATAAATGTAACTTGAGTCAAAAAAATATATACACTTATCTTATGTTATACAGCCCCTATTCTTTGGCAAGAATTTACCAGATATCTTCTGCGCATTTTGGTGATCGATTTCACATGACCGGTCTAAGTCATGATCGCGAACTTAAGTTTATTGCTTGAAGTGTTGCAGGTAAAACAATATTCCAACTTATCTTGAAAATAGAACTTCGCTAATTCAGGATCATAAGGGAACTGATTCCCATTTTCGCAGTACCATGAGCCATATAATCCATAATTTCCATGTTTTCCATCGCAAATAGGACATGGTGAGCTTCATGGCTGAGGTGATGTAAAATTATAATTATCAATCCCTCTGAAACTATTTCGGAATTTCAGGTATGTGAAATGCTTTAAGACGGATTTGATAATTAATTCTGGATCGGGTCTGGCTTCGAAAGTGATAGACTTGAAATTAGAGACTTGAGGTTTTTCTGATATACTTATCACAGCTTTTGATAATTGTCATAGCTCATATCCAGTTTCTCTTTTATATTTTTTGTATAAATTGGAACGAATCTTATCTGTCAAAATACTTAGTAAACCAGTTAATTTGGCATGCCAATTCAGATATTCGGAAGTTAATATTTTATCGGACTTGGCCATGTTGCCTTTTTCTATAATTGCAAATTAATCTAATTAGGTAATAGTTGACAGGTGTAAAAAAATAATAATAAAGCAAATGTAGTCACAAAGTGACCTGACTATGCAACTATTTCAATTTCACGCTGTTCACATTTAATAAAATAAGATCCAGCTTTATATGTATCCTCTATGCTTTCCTCATCATTATGCTTTAACTTGCATAATGGGCATGATGTCTCATTGGTAATACCATAATAATCGAAATTTTCACTACTAAATTCTCTATATAAATTTGAATATTGATCTAACATTCTATTTTTTTTTAATCCAATTGATATATTGAGTTCAGATTAACTTATATTTATCAACATATAAATAAAGTTTATATTTCTAAGAACTTGAAAAAGTAATTTTTTTTGTAAAAGATACCAAGTTAGAAAAAAAAATACAAGATTATTACAAAAATACGTATAGTGAATATAATTTAAAAATAAAAAACATGAAGAATGTAATAATTAAAAAAAGAAATAGCATTGCAAAAATAAAAAAATAATAATAATATAATATTTTAAAAAGAAATAGTATTGTGATATTAGACAAAAAAGTGATAGCATTTTATTTCAGATTAAATTATAAATTAAAGTTGCTAAATTAAAATGTAAAGTTAGAAAAGTTAAAAGCATTAGAAGTGAGGTTTAAAGTTAAAAAGTTATGAGAATTAGAGTTGTTGAAAGTTGAGTTAAAGAATATTAGAAGCTGGTATTTAAAATTGAAGGAAGGTTATTAAAGTTGAAAGTTTAAATTAGAAGTTATCAAAATTAATGTTTGTTTTTGTTAGAGTAAGTAGTTATTACTATTAAAATTAGTAGTATTATTATTAAAGTTAATAGTATTGTTAAAATCAGTAGTTGTAATTAAGCAGTTAGAATTTGTATTTTATTAGAAATGATAAATATTTAACCTTAGTTTTTTATCAAATTAAATCTATATTACCTGTTAGACTAATAGGTTGGTTAATAGATCAATAATATGAATTAATAAAGGATTTTAATAAATTGCTTAAAAAAATTAATCTCACATTCTAAGTGTAAAAGTTTTCAATATTCTATTTTAACATACTAAACTGATTGACTTAAAAAAAGAAAAATTGTAAAAAAAAGAGTAAGTATATAATACTTAATAGGAGTAAAGTAAATAAAACAAATAAAAAAAACCTTATCAGTTGAAATATTAGCTAAAATTTTAAACTGTAGATCTGATATTAATGAATATTGAGTTATAAGTCTAAATATTATTTCTGATAAAAAGTAAAATATTTTTTTAAGATTGAAAAAAATGAAGGTTAAAAAAAGAAAAATATTTTTTTTCTTTTATGTTATTGAAACAATTAAACTTATCTAAACTTTTTTTTAGTAAAGTATACTATTCTAAAAGATATGCGATAATAAAATATTTATAATAAAGTTACATACTTATAATATAGAGTTATATAGATATATTTAGAGAAATGTTTGTATATATAGTCTAGACTAAAAAATTATTACATAATGCAAAAAGAAAGGATGTATATTTAGTATTAAGTCTCAATCTTGAAATTGGATTATAAGATACATTTATATAGAATATGTACTTATAGAGGATATATTTATAAAAAGTTAACTATAATCAATTTGATTATATTTATTACAACATTTTTTTTATTTTTTACCAGTTTGATTTATTATTATTACTTTATAATCTTATTAATAATATTAATTATATCTTGAATATATTTATTTTTTATTTTTTTGATTTATCACATGATCTGTATCTAATAAGTTATTTACCTTTATATGATACCTGTAATAGATCATTGATATGTATAAAAACTTTATTTTTCTGTTATAAAAATAATTTTGCTTTGTATTTTAATAAAACATTTTACTTGATTGACAAATTCACAGTTTAAAAAGTTTAATTAAAAGTATTTTTAATATTGTTAACGTGCAATCTTTTTAGGTTGCAACTGTTAGACGCGATGTCAGAAGGTTGACTCTTTTTAATTGAGCAGTAATTCTTTTAATGGTTTACAAGTTTTTATGTCAGACTAGTTATCAAAAGTAT